AATAAGACAGAATTCTGGCAATACAGGTATCTATGGTGGATGATGCTTCCTACGTTTCACCTTTCAATATGTATTTTTACGTCTATGCAGGGATTGCATTTGTGATGGTGCCTTTTTCTTCTCGAGTTATCTACTGTGAAGTTTTCTCAATAATGCAAGAACGATAAAGAAACTTATCGCACGAAGTACTGTTTACTCGGTCTAAACACTGTGGTTGGACGCTAATTAAGTAGTCGACTACTAAAGCAGTTATTATATGAATACGGTAAATTTAACATATGATGTGGTGTGATGATGAAATGGACCTCACAAAGCAATGTGAGACCGAGATGGCCATTTCTGGCTTGTTAGCCGTTATCAGCCAGTCATACCCAATCTCAAGAGTTGGAATCCTCGCGATTCGAACCCGGGACCTTTGCTCAATGAGTTTAATACTCTACCTCGGCACCCGGGCTCGCTGCTTTGTCGATTGAGATCGAGAATATGATGAATTTATGTGTTTCGCCGATCTAGTAGAGGAACAATTAAGTTTCGCTTTGCCCGGGGGCTCACAATATGAACCCGCCAGACCATCACATAGTGACTATGAAGATATGATGATGAAATGGATCCGACAAAGCAAAGGGAGACTGGAATGGCCATTTCTGGCTTGTTAGCCGTCATCAGCCAGTCATACCCCAATTCAAGTGTTTGAACCTCCGAAATTTGGTCTTTATATTCCCTTTCATCCTGGAGTTTAAATCAGCTCGGCCGTCGGCATGACCCCCTTCATAGCGAGCGAGCACGTACGCGAGTTACGTGCAAGCAGAGTGCACGAAAGTGTAATAGGAAGGAGGAGGCGTTGAAGGAGTTGGCGCAGCGGAGCCCAGTTAAATTGGCTGACCGCCATCAATCGACCAGCTGGCCGTAACTGTCGGGAAAACCTGCAACTACTAAAACTAACAGTAACCACAGGACGACCACAACTTCCGTATGGGGAGGGCAATGAATCTGTAATTGCTGAATAGATACAAAAGGAAAGAGGTTAAATGCAAAAACTAAATTGTTGGTAAGGTCTAGTAACCTACACAGTGTTACAAATAAGGAATTAATTCCAAATAAACCAGTTTATCGCTTTCTGTGCGCGCACGAGAATGCTTGTGCCTACCTAAATTCCATTGCCGCTTCTTTTTGAACCAGACAACTCTCAAGGTAAAGATCCTATCTACAAGGGAACAATAAAACAATCCTCTCCCTTCATCTTCTTGGATAGGCCCCTGTTTTCCTCCACTTCAGTAGTCAGTACTTACCTTGTTGTTTTGGTCACCGCGAGCTCAAACTCCGGTGGGGCTGTCTCGAGACTATGGTAGCACGCGTATAATACCACCAAACATAAAGGTCTACTATACTTTTTGTAATTAGCACATATTTATTGACATAAAAGCCCTTAACGTCCTGACCGACAGGAATCCAGTCTTCGTCGTTCGACTTTGTGTAACGCTACAGCAACTTAGAAAGTTGTCAGAATTTCTCTTTCATGGAACCATTGCATTCAAACGCAAGACCATTTATAATACCAGCGAGGCGTCCCACCATTTTTCCCGAGGGTAGTGTATTCATACCCATTTTTAAAGCTACATATCTCCAACTGCCCTGGTAATCACATACCTGCATTCAATCAGCCCATGTTTTTTCCTTAAACATTTGACTGCGACTCTCAAAATAGTCTGTTTGCCCCTGGGGCGACGTTTTCAAACCTCCATTACTTTAGGCCTAGACGTGTACCATATATGGCGCACGTCGCAGTTTGGGACATCATTGCATGTACCACATATGGCGCACGTCGCAGTCAAAGTGTAAATTCACCCCCCTACTTTTCCTTCCCAAGTTCAAGGGCGACATTTGGCTGTCCCTAAATTTATTCCTGTTGGGTACGCTTGCTTTTAAATCTTCTAGGGTTGTGAAAGGTCTTGTGTTACGAGGTATGTTTTGCTTTATTCACCCCAGAGAGAAGTATCTCCGATGACTTTGATAAGCAGCCTGAAAAAAGTACGGACGATTGCACTGGCTAGGGTTCTGAACATTCTTAAACCAGCAAAACTAACAGAACCAAGTTCCGGTAAGCGGGGAATTAAATTCCATAAAATAAGGAATTTAGAATATCGCGTTCATTATCCCCCAAAGAGGAAAAGAGGGAGGAGGCAAGCACTTGGTCTGGGAGTCATATGACCAGCGTGCCACGATTTCTCACTGATGCGTCCGCGATGCCGGGTGCGATCCGATCCAGCACCAAGAATCGATCGGTCCGACCTATGACGAGGGGGAAGCCATGTCAACTACGTTAGCTGCGAAGGGGACGCGTGCCCGACATTGGTCGATAGTGGAGAGGCCACAGCCAGCCAACGAGTGAACGAACGTGCACTGGGCACGGCTACAACATGAGGCTGGCCGTGGGACGCTTAACTCAAGGCCTGTAGGAGAGTAAGCCATATGCTCTGAAGATGAAAACGAGTGTGTATACGTTAGTATAAGTGTAACTTGGTCCAAGAACTTGCGCCCCGCTTTCGTCTTCCTCTTCACGAGATGATGAATGCGAGAATTTATTAGATGTCGCGTCTCTGTTCACTAACATTCCCCTCACAGAAACCATTGAATTTTTCTGTGACGAGATTGTTAAACCGGATTTTCCAATCGGCATGCCGTTTAAAGACCTTAAGTTATTGCTCTTTCACTGCATATTAAACGTTCAATTTAGCTTTAATGGCCAATTTTACTGCCAAATCGATGGAGTAGCGATGGGATCACCGCATGGACCTCTTTTAGCTGATGCCTTTATGGGCAAACTGTTGAGCAACAAACTTGCACTAGTATAAAAGACCTTCCTTCCTATGCTCTATATGTGGATGATACTTTTGTAACAGCAGATGTAAGGCTTGAGGTGGACACTCTCCTAGATACAGTGAATCAGTTGCATCCACCGTAAACCTTCACTTTAGAAAAAGAGGACAGACGGTGCTTTCCCTTTCATGATGTCCTTCTTAAAAAGTCTGATGGAACAATAAGTAATGTAACTCGCAAGAAAACATAGACAATGCAATATACGAATTTCTACAGTTTTGTCCCACTTAGTCAGAAACAAAGCCTAGTCCGCTGCCTCACTAACCGAGCTGGGAAAATATGTTCTCCAGAGACACTGGAGAACGAACTCGCCCTCATAAAACCCCCTGCATGAAATTAGCTTTCCCGAGAAGTTTATCGATGCATTTATGGAGGAACGTCCACCAAAATCGTAAGTGCCGACGTCTGAGAAGAAAACTTTATTCATTACATTGCATTTTCAAGGGGACTCAGCAAGCGAACCTCCACAGCTTCGTTTGACCGCTGCAATCGCGCGTACGTATCCAACAGCTAAGTTAAGATTAGTATTTTCAAGCACTCCACTTCTTCGCCTTGAAGGCAAGCATAGACTCCTGTTCCAGACCTTTTCAATGTGAATCTATGCCTCTACATGCTCCTGTGGGGCAGGTTATATTAGTCGAACAACTAGGCGGCTACCTGAGCGCATGCAAGAACACCATCCTGCTTGGTTAAACAGAAGCGAGGCAGAGTCCATATCTAGCGCGATTTCGGCCCACTTGGTTAACAGCAGTCATCGGGTAGACGTCATCC